AATTTATTTTCCCACTCATATTGCTATTTAAATAATTTAAATCTAAATTCTGAACATTTTCTAAATTTTCATTGCATATCAGTTTTCTCTTAACAGATTTTGCAAGCAAAGTAATTTAAGTAAAAAAGAGGAACATTTCTGAAATCAGAAGACAGAAATTTGCTTCATGCAGTCATCTTTAACAGTAAAAGCTTAACTAACTCGCATACTTGGAAATTGGCGAATATTCGGACAGTCGAGCGTAACTTGAAGGGGGGGGGTAGACTGTAGCCACTCTTTAGATTTTTCCGCTAAATAAATGCTTTTGACATTTCAATATGTGCATCATATAAAAATAAGCCAACCAAACTAAAAAATATTCCACTTAGTAAGGACAGTAAAACTCTTTTTAAGTGCTCATAAACAAATCTCGGACTGAACATCAAAATTAATTATCTCTGCAAAATATCGCAAACATTATTGCCCAATACGTGCGCTGTAATTCTTCCTTACGTGATATTACGCAATCGGAATCAACAACTGCCGGTATTGGGAGAAAAAAGAACTAAATAACTGTAGTGTTTTTCATTCTAATTTTCAACAGACGGCGTTAAAATTCCGGAATAGAATCATTCTTCCCTTGGGTTGGTAGACCGCAGAACTTTTAGTCCTATTCAATCCAGATTGGAAAGTGACCCCCCCCCCCAAAAGAAAGGTCCATTGCTTGTTTTGCAGCGAACTGTAACAATTTCAATATTCAAGATTTTGCGGAGAAAGGGGAGACCTCCCAACCTTCGTACTGTTTAATGTGTTGGCCAAAAAAAAATGAAACTATTTTGACTATTCGATTACTTTCCCTTTATTTAAGCCATTCCGAATATTATTCCTTAGAAAGCTAATTTGTGTTAAAACACAACCATTTTTGGAAGTTTACTATACTTCAGCAGTTACTGGAACTATGCTGCTATAAACATTCATACATATGCTCATAATATAAGCATAACGATCATAATAAACACGAATATGAACTGACCAAGCAGAACGAGAATGCAAATCTTTTTAAGATCTTGATATAAATTCAAACGTGTGTAGTATTTGGGTGGGAGGAAAAGAATGCCAAATATAGCGGAATTTTCTACTGCTTTCGCAATTCTCTGGCCAATAGAACGACGGGCACCTGTCTGTACTCTTCGTGCACCAAAGGTTATGTTAATGCAGAGAAGGGGGAAAAGCTATTTCCGGGGGTATGACTCACCATTGACATTCCATATTAGGAGAAAAGTTGTTTATTTAATTTCGGCTTTGTTACGGGGAAAATAGCACGTTCATTAAAAAAAAAAAAAAAAAAAAAAAAAAAAAAAAAAAAAAAAAAAAAAAAAAAAAAGAAAAACAAAAAATAAGGGCTTTAAAGAAAAAGTAAGCACCTGTAAGGGCCTTTATATTTTATTTTCAAATATAAGGACTTATAAGGACCGCTACGAACCCTGTTCACACTTAAGCCACACAATTATTATATATTTTGACAGCTGATATAGCAAGGCTTTCTTGTGAAGAAGTTAGACTGATTCCACGCAGTAGTTTTTGGTGCCCTTTTAAGCATTGAAAATGAAAAGCAGCATTTTCGGCATATTTTACTTCATTATCGAAAAAGCAAAAATGCTGTTCAAGCAAGAAAAAAATTATCCTATGTGTATGGAGAAGATGTATTCACAGAACACCAGTGCCAAAACTGGTTTGCAAAATTTTGATCCAGCAATTCTGACCATGAAGATGCACCACATTCTGAAAGGCCAGTTAAAGCTGATGAGGATACAATAAAGGCATTCATTGATGCAAACCGGCGAATCTGACTCGTGAGATCGTTGAGAGATTAAATTTACCGAATTCGACTGTTCATCATAATTTGAAATGCCTAGATTTAATTTGAAACCTCGACATATAGGTTTCTCATGTGCTTACAGAAAGAAATTCACGCCGTCGCATTGACGTTTGTGATCTGCTTCTCAAACGTCAAGAAAATTATTCCTTCTTTATATTACCTTCTTTTTGGTAATCAGTATGGTTTTACACCTCAAAAAAGTTCTGAAGACGCTCTTTTACGCTTGAATGAAATTGTTCAGAGAGGAAAAAAGAAAAACTTTTTGAAAAAGAAAACACACTATTTTGGTCTTTTTGGATATTAAGGGTGCCTTCGACCATCCGTGGTGGCTTTGTATTCTCAATCTTCTCAAAAAAGTGGAACTTCCAATGAATATTTTTTTCACTTGCTGCTGATTTTTTAAATGATCGGGCGGCCAAACTGCAATTGGGCTCGGCTTCTGCAATTCGTCACCTTGAAAGGGGTTGCGCCCTCAAGGTTCTGTTTCAGGACCTACGTTTTGGAAATATTATTATTAATGATCTCTTATTAAAACTGGAAAATCTTGCTTGTTGTGATACTATAGCCCTGTTGCGGATGATGTTTTGTTTTGCTTCCAGAGTAGGGACATTTCCTGCTACTTTTTTATAGGCACAAGAGGACTTTAAAATCTGGCCTCCAACTGGTCAAAAGGTTTTAAATTAGATTTTAATCCTGATAAAACCAGGGTTATGATTATTGAAAAGCGAAACATCTGTTATGATGCATTTCAGTTATCTCTCGATGGCCCCCCTTTGACTGTGGTAAAGCAAATGAAATATATTGGGGTTTTTCTTGACTGTAAATTTTCTTGGAAACAACACTTAACTTATGTATCAGAGAAATGTGATAAATTACAGCATGATTAAGTCGTATTGCATGCAACACATACAGTATTAATTACAATGTTCGTTCGCTCATCTATAAACAAGGAATTGCACCCTTCATTATGTATGGCTCTAGAGTCTGGGGTATATTGCTCAAGAAGATAAATTATAGATATTTACGACGCGTTCAAAGGCGGATACTTCTGCGGGTCATATGTGGATATCGTACCGCAAGCTATGAGTCTGTTTATGCAATTTCTGTGCAATTTCTGGCTTTCCTCCAATTGACATTGCCATTCTTCATTCTATTGCTTATAAGGAAAATATTTCTGCCTCTACTGTCTCTCAGTATGATTGTATTTTACCTCTATTTGATCTCCCTCATCCTTCAGAAAGAAATGCTGTTAATTTTATTCAGTTTAGCAATAAAATCGTAGATGAGTCGCCTGTAACTTGCTATACTGATGGCAGCAAAATTGATGGCAAGGTTGGTCTCACATTTGTTGTCTTCAAAAATGGTCTTGAATTTGAGCACTTTCAATTTAGAATCAGAGATGAATGTACCGTTTTCTTAGCTGAACTTTTGTGCTTAAACTTCGCCGTCAAATGGGTCTCTAAACAAAACAGTGCTGTTTCAGACTATCTCATTTGTACTGATTCCCTTTCATCCTTGGAGATCTTAAAATGTATTTCTTCTTCTAATAATATCATTATCGAGATTCAAAACGAACTGAAAAATCTAAAGGATAAAAATATTTCGGTTTCATTTTCATTATTCGTGGTCATACAGGTGTTGTTGGGAATGAACAAGCCGATTTCCTTGCTAAGACTGTGACTAAGCGGGAAATTGACACTTTTGTCAATATCCCCAATTCCTTTTATAAGAAGGTCATGTATGAAAGCATTGTGGAGTCGTGGAATCACGAATTTATTAATTCAAATAAAGAGAGTTTAACTAGGAGATTTTCCCTTCTATTAAAATGAGATTGTCATGTCATCATTTCTTCACAAATTAGAAACTAACCCAGTTTCTTACTGGACATGGGAATTTTAAAAGTTATTTGAACAGATTTAAGTTGAGTCCTGAGTCTGTCTGTGACTGTGGCCTCGGCAGGGAGGAGAATGTTGAACATGTGCTTCTTCTATGTCCTAAATATGAGAGCGAAAGAAAAGTCTTGAAACTGGGACTGAAAAATTTTAATATTAACTGGCCTCCAGAGTTTTACCAATTTATTTCCGAGAGAAGAGCTTTTAACACTTTTTGTCAATTCATTGTAAAACTTTGTAATCATCCTTAATTTTATTTCAGTTTTTCTTCTGTTTATTTTTATTGTGTTTCATACTTCTGTAAGCCCCATGTGATACTATGTGGTACATGGGGAACTTGTGTTTCTTTTAATAAAAATGTCAAGAAAATTATTCATTTTTGAAGCGGACGAGAAATTGGTTGTCTACAACAATGCTAAATGCAATCATGGAGTGAAAAAAAGATGAACTGGTTCAAAGCTGCTATTTATCAAAAAAAGGTGATGCTATCCGTTTTATAGAATTTCAAAGAAATCTCTCTCTCTCTCTTTAAAAAAAAAATTTTTTTTAAAGCTTTTACCGGCCAATACAATATTCAATTTTGAAGTATACTCTCAGCATATGGACAAAGTGATTGATTCACTTAAGCAGAAAAGGCCAGAATTGAAGACTAGAAAAGATGTAGCGTTCCACCAAGATAATGCAAGACCTCATACAAGTTTGGTAACTCGCCAAAAGCTTTTACAGCTTGGATGGGATATACAGCCACATTCGTTATATTTTCCAGATCTGGCACCCTCTGATCATTATTTGTTCCGGTCTCTACAAAATATTTTAGATGGTAAAACGTTTACTTCAAATAAGGAGGTCAAAAATCAATCGGATCAGTTTTTTTGCCAGCAAAGCAAAAAAAAAAAAAAAAAAAGGGGGGGGGGGATCATGGAATTATGCTACTGCCAGAAAGATGGCAAAAAGGTACCAGACCAGAATGGACACAATATATAATTCAACAAAATATTTATTCACTATAAGAAAATTGTCTTTCATTTTCTTAAAAAAATAAAATAAATACTTTCCGAACAACCCAATAATTACATGCATGAAAATTATAGTGAATGATTACATAAAATGATAGACAGAAAATGATAAAAATGTTTTCTTCTAACAGCGTAGCATCATTAAAAAACAAACACAATCTTTATAAAATTTTTTATTCTTAATTTAAAAAAAAAAACACAATCTTTATAAAATATTCTTAATTAAAAAAAAACAATTTTAATTATGAATTAATATACTGATAGGTAAATAATTAATTTTCAGAAGTTTGAAAAGTTAAAAATATTTTTCTAAATTTTATATAAATAGCTGAAATAATCAAATTAACCTATATAATAAATATGACATAAGGAAATGGCTTTTCTTCAAAAATAGTCACCAAAGGCACAAATTTCATAATAATTTTTAGTAATCTAATATGCATAAATTTGACTTGAACATTTAAATAAAATTTTAAAAAATCAGCATATTTCAACTGTCAATAATAATAACGGCAGTTATTTTCTTAAGAAAATACTAAATTTTGCTGTTATACGTGAATATCTTAAAACAGATAACCTTTGTGTGCTTGCACATTTAACTTTTGGAAAGTAAACGTAATAAGCAAAGCATTTTAACAATATTATGGAATGAGAGATCATTAAATTTTCTATTGCTATCATACTCACTTCATATTATTTTTATTTTGTTCAAAGAGACAACCTCTAATTGTTACATGATTCCAGCAACCCTAAAATAAAAAAGTATTGAATCAAAAATTTGAAAATTTATTTACCACAATATTTTTTATGATTTAAAATTTTTAAATTCAGTTACATATCTTTAAAGCATGATTAAAAAAATTCTAAAGAACTTTTTGATTGAATAATTATAAACCTTTAATGGCTATATTCCATTAAAAATTGAATATCATTTAATATTCACTCATGCCATTTTACTGCAATCATAAGTACCTTGATCATACTTTCAGAAAATGAGAAGCAGTAAATTAATATTAAACTTTTTCAACTTACTATATATTCCAGCACATAACGTGCAATTTTAAATTAAAAAAAATAACATCAAAATTTACGGGTGCACGTTATACGCCAGATATAATAATTATGCATTTAAAAATAAGGAAAAGAACATACAAAAGTTAGATTTCTATATGTACCTAAATGCTGTGTATTTAAAAGAAATGACACACCTTATGAACTTAAAAAATTTTCATTTTCATTTAATTTCCTTTATATACAGCACATTAATTATTATACTTTAACTTATTCAGAGAAAACATCTGACTCCTAATTCCACAGATTCATTCCGGTTGGATGTGCTTTCTTACTCCAAATTATGTCCTTCTTTTCTCAAAACCCTAGAATAACATTTTTACATATATTTGCATTAAATATAACCATTTTCTTTGCAGAATTATTCACTCCCTCAAGCATTTTTCCTCACATACACATTTCCCCCCTTATTGCTTTGTCAATTCAGTATAACCATTGCTTGAAAATCTTCGAATAAATGACTTAAAATTACAGCACTGCACATGTGCATTTCAAGTTTCTTCTTAAAGAAAAATAGGCATGTTATATGGCGAATACACCTAAAAATTAAAAAATGTACTTTGAAATTACAGGTGTGCATTATATGCCAGAATATACGGTATACCTTTACCAGTATGTGTTATATAATTCATTCTTAATTTATTAGAGTATATTATGTTTATTTTACACAGTTTAAAATAATTGTCTGCTTTAATTCTAAACTTTTTGTATATTTTTACATACTACCCAAAGCCACCCAGTGGGAAATTAGGAAAACTGAATTAAAAAATATATTATGACCTATATCATTTTGCCTTAGGTATGAAAAGGCAATGACCTTAGCTACCGAATTATGGCACTGGTACATCTGTGGCATCGCACATTAAGTGCCACATTGCACATTACATTGGTACACCAAATATTAAATGTGCTACATTACATTTCACAGGAAGCTGAGAATAGTTTGATAATATGCAGCATCTATATTGCACCCAACAAGAGTAGCAAAACATGAGATTTCAGTTTAGCGAAGCCATAAAAGCAATGCTGATACCTAGTTGAATAAGAATTATGTGTATTTCCTGGAGTATGAGTTGTACATAAATACCCTGGTGAGAAAAATTAAAGGAACAAATATAAAAAGATACTTTATGTTATTTCTATTAAGCAAAATAAAAGTTGATTCTTAGCTTAATGCCAAAATTATCACATAGCATAATGGGATTCTCCTTCTCTACAAAACTTTTTATGTGTGGAAGATTGAACATGTCATGAGAAGGCATCTGATGTATTACAAGAAATGGTGTACAGTTGGGACAACAAAAGTGAGACAAATTCTGACACAGATCTGTAAAGAACTAAAAGTAGCCTAAAGTGTCATGCCAACAAATCCAGATATTCTGTGAGTGACAGGCTACATAAAGAGGGTGATGTAGATATTAATGCCATTGTAAGATATAGATAAATCTATTAAAAAGACCATCAGATATGTGAGATTGATGCAAATGGAGAAATCACAAAGACCATTACTAAATTGAAAACCCACCATTTTAGAGGCATGAAAATTAATGAAGATGGTACCAGATCATATAGAACTCATAGAAACAGAGCTTTCTCCAGAACAAATCTTTATCTGTCAGCCAATACCTGCAGCTCTTCAAAGTTTGGGGGGATTTCCTTTCCAGGAAAAGCCGTGAAAACATTGGGGAACTGGCAAAAGCAGTGATTTCCCCGCATTGATCCATTTGACTTCTCAAAGGACATGACACCAACCAACCAACCATGCAGGGAAATCCATGACTTATGTCCCTCTAACTGAAGGTGCAAAATGTACCTGATTGCAGTGGTGCAGAAATTATCATGATTGTAGTGCCATAGCTAGGAACCAAGTTCTTTTTACTGATGGGTCTTGTTTTTTGTTTGGAGACGGATTTAAGACATACAATCTGGAAAAAAAAGCACATGTAATAAACTTGAAAATATAAGGAAAAGCATCAATACGAAGGTGGCTGAATCATAATATAGGCATACTGACCTATGCATTTCTACCAGTGCAACTATGAAAATGCTGAACCGATACACATGTAATGAAACTTGAAAACTTAACATAAAGATCAATTACTGAGGTGGTGAATTAATAGATGTAGGCATCTACACCTATGATTTCACAAGTGCCTTGATGTATGGAACTTCATCCTTCTCGCAAAATTAATATTAGGAGGAATTTAAAAGCCTATATTTGTTCCACACTGCCGACAATGTGAAACAAATGGTAGCTACAAGACTGATTTCACTTTTTTTGGTTCTTTCTAGGCTATCCTGCAATATATATAGCTATATTAAGGAAAAATTGTAAATCAGAATTGAAGACTAAACTATAGCACAACATTCATTTCTTCTTCTCTAATCCTAAATATATATATTGATAAATTTATATCAGAATAAATTATAAAATTATAAATCTATTGTATAATCATTTAATTCTTCCTCTCTATTCTAAAATCATAATAACTTATCTGCATAGCGTCATTCAAATTAATCATGCGATCTTACGTAACCGTTACGCCTTTTTCTTTTTGAAGGGGGGGAATATGTAAGATAAAATTATATGAATCAGAATTATAATATAACTATAAACATTAATTCTTCCTCTCTATTCTAAAATAATAATAACTTCTCTGCATTGCGTCATTTCTAGATCACTCTATGGCCCGTGCAACTCTGATGACGTAATAGTTAAGAACTGAAACTGCCATTGTAAACCAAAACTTTTCTCTTTGCCGTGCTTCCATTCTTCATAACTACGCACTTCAGCTTTTGCTCTCTACTGTGCTAAGATGTAATTTCACTGGCTTGCTTTCTATCTCAAGAATATCAAAAATGTAAATCTTCTGTGGAAAGGCACCACTAGAGAGTGCCAAGTGATTGTGGCCACAAGTATCAGTTGCCAATAAAAATGGAATTAAAACTGCCTCGACTGCCAAGTTCTTTAGATATTACCAAGTTAGCATTACTAGCATACTACACAATCAAAATCCTCTTTAATATGGATCTAAGCGCGCATCGACACTGCTCAGTTTTCCTTGTGATTTTATTATCACAATTAAGACAAAAATTTTATGATTTATGTTTTTTTTTTTTTTTTTTTTTTCATTTGCTAGTGCTCTTTCTCTTTAAAAAGGCTTCTCTGTCATTACACCTCTTTCTTTTTGAAGGGGGGGATACGTAAGATAAATTGTATGAATCAGAATTATATTTCTATGAATCAGAATTATATTATAACTATAAATGAATATATGAATTATATTATAACTATAAGAACTAACTCAGAATTATATTATAACTATAAACATTCATTCTTCCTCTCTATTCTAAAATCTATGTAAGATAAATTGTATGAATCAGAATTATAATATAACTATAAACATTAATTCTTCCTCTCTATTCTAAAATCATAATAACTTATCTGCATTGTGTCATTCAAATTAATCATGCGATCTTACGTAACCGTTAATACCAGATGCCTCTTGACGACCAATCACCGAATTATGAACCAAAACTTTTCTCTTCACATGCTTCCATCTTTCATAACGACGCACTTCAGCTTTTGCTCTCTGCTGTGCTAAGATGTAATTCGCTGGCTTGCTTCTATCTCAGCAATATCAAAAATGTAAATCTTCTGTGGAAAGGCACAACTAGAGTGCCAATGATTGTGGCCACAAATATCAATTGGAAATAAAAATGGAATTAAAACTGCTTCGACTGCCAAGTTCTTTAGATCACCGATCTACAGTGTTCCGTCTTTTCCTTTGCTTTTATTATGACATACATATATATAAATAAATAAACTTATAAAATATTGTTCTCACAGTAGGGTGAATAAGTTCCTGTTTAGACAAAAGTTCTTGTTTGGAAATATTTCAAGATGAGGCTGTCTTGAATAAATCAAATCTCTAAGCCGGTGGTTGAGCTGTGTCTGAGCAGGATGCTCTTCGTAAGGTAGCGGCGAACCCGGCTACCTCACAGTATATCTCTTGCAGAGATATTATTATCGCTCTACGCAGAGCAATGCAAAAATTTTCTCATGGCCGAGCTGGAAAAAAACTGAGAGAAGGTTTCTCTCTCTACTTACTGCAACTAACTCTCACTTTTTCCCTCTCTGATTTTGTTCAAGTTGTCCTGGGCGTGTCGGAAAAACTTCCAGGATCCTTATTTGTCCATAATTTTTAGAAGTGCCTCTTGATTGGCGAGAGCACTTTGATTAAAAACTGGATATGATGAAGACAGCCTGGGAAAAAGTTCGTGGGAACTTTTCGATTCCACTGGGGGTCTCAAACCGGGTGGTCTGAGACACCGAACCTATAAACTGATGAAAGGGAATGGAACAATATCTCCCTTTGAAAAACTATAAGAGGAACAAAAAGCTGAGATTGTTTTGTGACTGCTGGTCACTTCCTCTTTCCGAAAATTCGCTAAGAAATACTCTATGCGTGGGAATGTTCGAGGTGGTCAATCTTTTTCTCAGAACTCCAGAGTGGTTGATAAAATAGCTTAAGACATTACAACAGCAAGGAAAACTGCTGTATAGCTTACAATTGATCATTTGTGATCACATACTTGGTTAATTTCTTCTACATATTTTCAAAAAGTTTTACATCAACGTTTTCCTATCCTTCTTCATATTACATTTCCTCTTATTATTCTTATTTTAATTTATTTTTTAAAGGCACAGATAATTCTGTACTTTAAAAATAAGTAAGGTATAACAATGATCTTGAGCAAGTTTCTTGCTCTTAGCTGTAAAATCATTCAAATTAATGGGTTTTTATAGTTATTCCTTTAATTTTCTTTGCCAGTGTATGTGAACATACAGAGAAATTCATTGTATAAAACATCACAGGAGAAAAGAAAGACAGGAGAAATGTTGTGGGAAACATCTTGGTAAAAAAAAATAAAACACCTAGAAATCATTACATGATGCACCACAGATGCAATCATTGCACCACAGAAGCAATCACTGCACCACAGAAGCAATCATTGCACCACAGACGCAATCATTGCACCACAGACGTGTTTTTTCAGGCTTATCTACATAAGGATTTTTGAGCACAAGAAGGGATAAGAAATATTCTTACTTCTATATTTCACACTTCTGAATTAATTTAGAGGTAAAGATTTTCTTCATCCTCTTCTTACACTCACAAATCATTATGCAAACATTTATAACCTTTAAAAAGCATGAAAAATACATGTCTGCAATGTTATCTTACTGCAAGAATTTGAAAATGTTTTCTTTTCTTTTCTTCTATGACGTTTTGTACAAAAACATTTTCACCTTCCATTGTTTTCTCTGTAATGTCTTAGGCTGCAATATATTTGCCTGCAACAAAAATTAAGAAATGTATCATCCACAAAGAATAGTCTCCTTGTCTGATTTTAGCATTCACAGCAATCATGGAAGATAACAAAGTATTATGAAGAAACTGACGTTACTACTAAAAACAATCAAGGAAGAGGCATTACTGGTAGAAAATACAACTGGATCAGCTCTTCATATCATTCATGATAAACTGCACAAATAAAATGGATCCTGAAGAAATAGGTATGTAAAATGAAAGATGGACGTATTGATGTTTGCCAAGAATTTCTACATCAATCTGAAGCTGATGGTGAAGCACTTCTGTACAACACTGTAAGAAAATGAAATATAGGTACACCTTGCACACACACAAAAAGCACATTCTCCCATTCTACAGGACTGATTACCGAAATTGAATTTGAGTTTTCCACGTCTCGAAAGCGGGGCTTAGGGTATATATTAGATTTATATATAGCATTATTCTAACATGGGCATTTTGACAAAAAATTGGACTTTTTCTGAACAAAATCTTCCTGAGCTGCCAAGCTACCATCCAACGAGCTATTGTCAAGATACCATGGCAGCTTCCTCAGCTGATTAAGTGCAAAGAACTTTGGCAGCTGAGGAAGATGGTTCGGTAGTTAAACCATCGAGACTAGTCCTGGAAAAATTACAAATATAATGATGATTCTTGTTGTTTGACTTCTGTAATAATCATTATTTTTTTGCATGTTATTTTAACCTAAATCTCAATGTTATTTATTTAAAAAAAACTTACATTCCAGTTAGGTTAGTTTGTAATCTGATAAGATTGCTTTACTTCTGCTTCCCTCTTTCATGAATTTTGCCCATTCTTATTGTAGTTCACTGATATTTCTTAGGTTTCAAATAATTTAATTACGCTCGGTGTCACACTACAGCTTGCAAATTATCACTATTGCCACTGCTGTCATCGTCTTCATCACCGTTCAGTCTATCTTCTCGCATGCAATGATCTCCAGAACCATCGTGAGCATTAAACATCTCCGTTTTTTTAAGCTCTTCACTATTACTACTTTATCAAGCTCGTGCACCCCAAATCAATTAGTGAGACGAAAACAATCACTATGAGGGTGAATCCCTTTTGAAATTTAGGAAAGCTTGCTTTTTGAATGCCTTGCAAAATGGAAAAATTTAGTGAATACTTAAAAAGTTAAAGGAAGAAATATGTCAGTAAATATAGTAAATATGGTATAATAACTACTTTGGGATAATAACAGAATATCAAGGAACAGTGCAAGTGATAGCATAGAGATGATTCATATAAGAATGATTACATTCAATTTATTTAAACTTCTCTTTGGTTATTTTGATTTAAAATTCTTAATTATGAGCAATCCCGCAATTTTATTGATTTGCTCAAAATTATTGTGATAGCTAAAAAATAATTTTCACTATTTCATGCATTTATTTCAAGCAGTATAAATCAAAAAAGTTTTTGTACATGTTTTGTTATTTTTCAAATCCAAATTTTTTCTTAATGCCTCTATGATTTTTTAATAATATTTTGTTTTATAAGGAAATAATTTTTGCTTTGTTTCCTACTACTCGCAAAGAACATGTATACTGGTAGTATTCTTTTTTGGCAGTAAAGTCTGTAGTTTGTTACACATAAAAGCTAATGAAAGATTAACAACAGATACCAAAATGATGATCATAAACATATCATATTACTGCATTGAATACGAAATACAAACTAGTCTTGCATTTATTATACAACCACACTAAGCTTTATAATTCATTTTCCATTACTTTTTTCAGCAATTCTGGATTCAAGTTAAAAACACATTTCCCTTAACTCCTTTCTTGGTTTGACTAGGCATTATTACATTCTTCTTCCTACTTGAAAATTATTAATTAAAAACATTTATTTTTCTTTCTTATAAAATTAAATTTTTGCAATGTGCTTAATATTCGATTCAAGACACTTTCGATAGAGACATCACTTTTTATTTTAAGGTTCACTGAATTCAAAATTTAAATATTGTCTAAAAAAGTACATGCAGCAAATATCTTTTAATTTAGTTTTCATTCCAAGTTTAGAAATAATGCAAAATTAAGTTGCCAAACAATTCATTGGCTAAATTTGCAGCATTTTCTTTTGTTGATTCTAAAACTTGCATTCTCGAATTCTTGTTAAAAAATATAAACAATTAAATAATATTGCATATCTTTATTATAAAGGAAAGCAGGAATTTTTTACCACCTGACAGTCACTGAGAGAAATTATACACAATGATTAAATAATATTATTTTTAGATTATCTTACACCTATGCCTTGTTCCCAGTCGGTACCACAAGGATTTTCTTCTGTAATTCCACACCGTTTGCACACAACACCTGAGATCACTCCTGACAGAGTCACAAAATTATTTTTTATACACCAAACCTATCGAATTAAAAAAGTTATCACTTAGTCAAGTATAAGCAACTAGATAATAAAAAAGAAGCATAAACTTATAGAGTGCTGAGATATTTTCTCATTTCCTAAAACATCCACTACATCAGGCAGTTATTTTTTAAACCTTACACAGATTCATGAGAATTCTATCACATCAATATGTTACAAAACCTAATTACAAGAGTTTAGTAAACATATATATCATTAGCATTTAGTAAAATAGGCAAAGGTGGGTAACTTATTTCTGACATGAAAGATATCCTTACAATATACCTGCACATATGTATATCCAAAATTAAAAATTGTAAAGTATACAAAATGCATCGTGAAAAACATATTTTTTTCTTTATTTTGAACAAATGCTTTAAAATGCCTAAGAGTATAAAAATTATTAATTCTATAAGTATACATGCTTTAAAAAGGATCATTATATGTTAAATGAAATATTACATAAATAGACATACTGATTGGTTATAGTTTCATTTTGGAGGACATTCCTTGTGTCTACAGAGCAGAAATGATTTATTCACTTCATGAGGTTGAGATCACAGTATTCTCAGGACACAGGCGTTCGTGACTGTAATTCTGTTCCTGCGATGATAACTTAGCAGCATTCATTTCAAACTTGCTGCAGGAATACTTGAATTGATTGTAATATTCGAGATATAAATTAAAGAGTGATCCTAGAGGTTTTCTATGATTTCCACATATCTGGCAACAGGTGTAAATAACATTTATAACTACACAAAATGATGCTAAGCAAAGGAATGAATGCTTATGAAGGAATCTATTTTGTATCATTTTAAAAATAGCTAATGTCTACTTGTAAAGGCCAAACCTTGAATTTTTGTAAGTTTTCGCTTCTGTTTATATTACCTAAGTTATGCTTCCTCATTATTGAAACACATTCTGCATATATTTGATATATGGCCTTACTCGTTGTTTTGGCAACATGCATGGAGTTTTACCAAAGAGCATTAAGTGCAGATTTTTATATATATATATATATATATATATATATATATATATATATAAAGAAGCAAATCTCTCTTTGTCTACTGAAATAGTATGTGGAAGGAAATAATGCCTTTAGAACACATAAAATAAATAGTAGCAAAATAATGATTTTTTGCCGTTATGTGATGGGTAATTCATGAAATTTCAAATTACAGTTTCATATAAACCTCCTGCAGTAATTTTACAGGCCTATCTGACGAAATCTATTCCATGCTATAAAGTGCTTTTATTCAGAGTTTATTTAGACCTATACAAAACCATGGGAATCATGCCAGTGAATGATAATTATGCTATTATGGGTTACAAAGATGCTATTGATTTATAAAGCCATCTTAAAAATAATAATAATAATCAAAAAAACACAAATGGATTATAAGAACTAACTGGGGCATCTGGCTCAAAGCTTAATTTTGTGCTGATAAGGAAATTCAAGCCACGGAAATCACACCAGCACATGACATAATTTCCCCTTCCTCAGTCATACAAATCAGTGGACTGTACTGCTAAATAATTTTTTTAATGTTTCCAGAAACTGAGGTGCCACATTTTTTGGTCTGTGCAAGAGCTAAAACAAATGCCATAAAAATTAATGTAATTGCATCTCACATTGTAGATGTAATTACCAAAAGTTTGAATGACAAAATTCCACATTTTGGCCTAGGGACAGATGCAAGCAGTTATTGAAAATGTTTCAGTAGCAATAAATAAAATATCTCGATTATGAAAGAAATGTCATTCAAAATGTTTTTTCTTAGAAACTTAGCCTAAAAAAAATTCCACAAAGTACTGCCAACTAGATTACAGATACTTTGGAGAAGGATAACATTACTCCTAGATGCAGTGCTTTAACAGGAGACAATGCAAATATTAAATTACATGGTCTTGCTTGCAGGGAAAGAAAAAAATGGATATTACACTCTCAAAAGACAGTCAAATGAAAGCATCATAGGAATTAGAAGCCCTGCACATATTTTACACAATTCCTTGCAATATAGAGCTGTAGCACTTTCTCTAGATAATGAGTCATTTGTTAAGAAAATGGTAATCATTTTTCTCATGCAGTAGGCATGGAACAACTCAAAGATTTCTGTGAATCTCTGGACATAAATTGCAAACAGCTTTTAACCCCGTAATGCATTTGCCAAATTACCAGCAAATTTGTACATTCCCGTGCCTTACAGGGGCAATCTTGTAGCGTTATTTTATTTCTAATGCTCATCTGAAATCTGTTCTAGTAAAAATAGGCTAGATTATAAATAAACTTATTTACCACAGATAGCACCACCATAAAGCATTTTTCTTGTACAAACTGCGTGGTGCATTTTGATGATTAGATATAAGTATATTAGGAATTCTTTGTTATAGAGCAGTTGTTTAGTGTGAAAAAGGTAATATATTCATTTTTATTGCATTAATTATCATAAAACTAAACAGTTAGTTAACCATAAATTACTTTTTACTAAGTGTTTTTGTAACTTGTTTAGAAAAGTTACCTGATAATCTCTGATGATTTTGAATATGCCAATTTATCAGGAAGTTTCAGCGATGAAAGTGATGCTTCATGGTGTATCATACCAAACTGTATTTTTAGCCATTCTTATGCTTGTAAGTATGACAATTTGATTTAAATATTTTGAAATTCAAATATAGGTATTGTTTTAAACATGTAATCAAATCATTTACACTTTGTTTGTATAATATTTTTTAAATAAATTTTACCCCACCCCCTTTTCCCTAGCCATGCCCCCACAACTGAAATTGGAAAAAAAAAAAAAAAAAAAAAAAAAAAAAAAACTTACATTATACCTATATATTCATTTTCTGTCAAAAAAAAAAAAAAAAAAAAAAAAAAAAAAAAAAAAAAAAAATTAAACAATTTTTTTCAGGGGGGGGGGAATTGTAAGGGGTTAAATTATTCCCAAAGGTTTCCATCCAAGTTTAAACCCTTACAAAAAATTCTTTCTAAGAGGTTAAATCATTCGCAAATCAGGCTAACATCATTCCAGCAGTAAAAAGGATTTTGTGTATGTAATTTTAATAGATTGTCTTTTTAGAGGAGTATCTTCTGTTTATTTCCTCCGTCATGCACATTTTTATTACATTACAATGATACCATTTAAAAAGGCAATAATTCACTGGCAGATGTGTATGAGTTTTTAGAAAGTATTTTAATTTCATTAAAAAATAGGCTTGAGAATCAATTCATTTCTTTCAGAGTTGGACATGCTTTGAATTTGTTTTCAGAAAAAGGCTTGGGAAAAAAGTGCAAGATGTTTATGGAAAATATGTTTTGTTTTCTATGAAACCTGCACTGAATACTTGGAAAGATAGATAGATGAGTCCTATCGAAGAAAGAATTCAAGTGGCTTCAAGTGAAGACCAGAAGAATCATACCTTTAAGGGCATTTTTCCAAGTCTTCAATATTTACAGAAAAGAAGATGATTCAGAACTATTTCACTAGCACTGCAATGCCAAGCATTCACCAGAAGTTCAATGATGAATAAAGTGCAATAAATAAATAATGGTCTCTTTCTTTAAAAAATGTCAAAACACTGAAAATTTTCATAATTAATTTTAAACAACTGCTAGTAATTTTTTTTTTTTTTTTTTAAAGCCCAAAGGGCATTAGCCCAGAAGAACTATTAATTTCGTTTCGGCATTTTGCATTGAAAACTTTAAAAGGCTGTATCACTTTTCAAATTGTTGCCACTAAATATTATCCTTTTGTCTTATATTTAAAGAAATTAAGTAATGCATTAATATATGTATGTTTCTTTTACAGTGATAAAACAACGGTACCTAGAACCATCAAATTTTGTATAAGGTAAACCTCCACACGAATATGGGCATCTGGAAGACCTAACTTGGAATTTGTTTTATCTATTTCATATTTTGTAAAACTTTAACGAATTTTTTATTAACAAACTCAACAATTTCAAACCAAGCAATGGCAACACTGTAGGGGGGACATTTTTATATCCAGCATGCAAGACTGCATATTAGAAATTCTAAAAATATGCTCTTTTTAAAATTTTGTGATACTGTTGTTGAATTGAGTTTTATGCTTTAAGTGTGAAGAACATGATATTTAACAAATAAAAGTAACACACAAAACGTTAACAAAAAAAGACCCTTTGGGCAGCATAATATAAAATCTGAAAATTTTCAGTTTTTTCTTTTGGTGCAGGAGGGGCACATTTAAGGCAGTAATATATCTATTGAATATGTTTTTTCTCTGATAACTGTTTGATGGTGAACAGAAAGGTATTGTTTTTCGATACAGTCACAGGAATTCAGATGGTTAAATATGATTTCAAGGCTATGCTGTGTGAGGAATTTCATTACTATGTTCTTCAAGACAGAATTCTTTTCTTCTGTTGAACATTCTTTTGAAAATTTACAGGCCTAGCAAAAACTGAATATTACTTCAAGGTAAGATTGGGTGCATAACAATTAAGTCTCACCGTCTGATATTTGTAATTAATTCTATATTGTACCTAACAGATTGTTACTGCGCTCCTTTATATTAACCCACTGTGTAAAATACCAATTAAAATGAAAATAAAACTTTCAGGCATTTAAAAAAAAAAAAGTTCTTTGTTTTGCTAGGCAATGTCCAGCATTTGCAAATTTTGAATTGATAACCCAATTCCCAGATAAACATGACTTTTAGGTATCCACACAAGTTCAAGTCTGAAGTTGCTTGTGGCTGAAAACTAATATAAATGATGCTGACATTCCCTATGAGCTCGTTCATGGCAACTATTGATCATGCTATCGTATCACAGGTCATTCCCAAAGAAATTACACACTGACCACTTCCATATAGACATAGACTTCTGCCTTTTCTTATTATTCCTTAAGTACCACACTTTTACCTAGTGGTAAATATCTGAATAATCTTTACTTTATAATTACTGTATGAAGTAAATGAAATATTGTGATCATGAAAAATTTTGGGTATCTTATCTTAATGGAAATATCCATTTTGACCATTCCTGAATCCATTTAGATGACTTTTTTTGTTTAATCATTGACAGAATAAAGGACTCTTTTTTCCAAAATGGATTCAAAAGAGATTTTTTTCATGGCATTTCTAGATATGTGTATGCATGTATTTCTCATAAATCAAAAATGACTCACTGTAGAATGTTGAAATTTTGTATGTGGAACTGCTATCACCATCTAGTTGTGCACCTGCTTTTTTAGTGCAATCAGCAATTTATATATATAAAGGGGACTACTCCTATTATAATTCCTATATTTCAAAGTAAAACTAATACACTCACGTTTGTGAAAATTGCAACACCAAGAAGGAATCGTCATAACTGAATGCAATTTAATACACAGTTGAGTGGTAGTGATACAAATAAATGATTAAATGTTCAAAGCAAACAAACAAGAACAAGAGATCAGAATCAGTATTTTGTGTGGCCACCACGCGCCGCAATAAGTGCTGCTACACGCTACACGACGTGGCATGGAGTCAAACAAAGTTTGAATGTCTGACTGAGGAAGAGCATTCCATATCGTTTGTACGCGTACCCAAAGTTCGTCTGCAGACGCAACAGGACGAGGATCACGAGCAAGACGCCGACCAATGACATACCACACATGTTCAATTGGCGACATATCCGGGGAACGCAGGCCAAGGAAGAAGCTGTACCTGCTGCGCTGCAAAGAAGGATTTAACAATCCGAGCAGTATGAGGGCGGGCATTGTCCTGCTGAAATACAGCGCCTGGCAAGCTTTGAAGGAAGGGAACAGCTTCGGGCTGTAGAACTTCACGGATATACCGGTTGCGTTCGATAATGCACTCCGGAAGGTGGCGTTCACCGGCATAGCGTCTGACACGAATGCGGCCATCATGGTACCACAAATTAAAGCGGGATTCGTCAGAAAACACGACATGCTGCCAATCAGCACGCCAGTCTCTATGCTGATTGGCCCATTGTAGCCGCAGGCGGCGATGGTCGTGCGTTAGGGGGATCCTGTATAAAGGAGTCCGTGCGCGCAGTCCACACTGCAGCAGACGTCTACGAATTGATGAAGCACACAATGAAACACCTGTAGCTATTGACCACAGTGCTGCCAATTGTCTAGAGGAAGCTGTACGGTCCGTCTGCGCCATGCGGACCAGGTGTCTATCATCATCGCGAGCTGACGTCACATTTCGGGGTCCACTCCCAGATTTCCGAGTTGTCCGACACTCGTCCGTCCACTGCTTCCAAACGCGCATCACTGTGCGCTGCTGTTACGCTGCACACGAGAGGCTACTGCACGATACGACAATCCAGCTTCACGAAGGCCGATGATTTCTCCCTCGTTCAAAACTCTGTAAGTTGTTCAAATCTCGCGCTCTCTTTCGTCAATGAGGCATAAGTACAGATTGAGTTAACGTTTACCACTAGCAGATAACCACCGATAACCATACACATACACGCCTCGCTACAACAGCCGTCTATTTATTCGGATCCATCAGCCGTTCAGAGGCGCTGCTGCTCAGCATATACGCATGCGCTACGGATTTGCAATTCTAGTCATTTGCATATCATGCGCTACTTTGCATTTCCTGAAAATTTCAGCTCACTCGCGTAAGTCCTTCATGGTGTTGCAATTTTCACAAACGTGAGTATATATACAAAACCACCCCCTTACTCTTCCATTATTTTTGCAACTGCTGGCTGTACTTCCAATTACAAAAGTGTTTTAAATGATGAAAATATTCGTGTTTTGGCAATGTCAGCTTTAACAACTAATGGAAATTGGCAATGTCAGCTTCAACAACTAACCCCCCCCAAAAAAATCAATAACTCATAAAATTTAATTTTTGATGACTTTTGATGATATTTGGAAAAGTTTTATACTCGTAAAAAAAAAAAAAAAAAAAAAAAATTATGAAGTTTGACTCCCATATGAGAAAAATTGAACTGGATGTTTTAATTTCAAAATTTGAAATTTTTGATGTCATTTTCAATTTGCCTTGATGAATCGGTTAATTAAGTTAGTTAAAATAATTCCAGGAAAGAAGTTTAATTGAAGTGCAGCAAAAACTGTGCATAATTTAATAGGCCGTACATGGAAGTCATGGTGTCCACATTAGATATTTTTCTTTAGATTCTTAATCTGAAGCCTATATGCAAATTATCACCAAAATGTATAGATAAGTATAGACTTATATAAAGTTTGGATTAGTAGCAACTTAATTTTAACTACACGATACTGTGAACTGATTTACAGAAAGCAAAGGGAAAATACTAGTTACTCACACAATATTTCTATTAATCATGCTAAAAATGCCAACATCATACCATGAATCTTGGTCAGATGGCAATAAAGAAAAATGGAAACCAAACAATGCAAGAACAGAATATTTAAAGATGAGTGTTACATGGATGGTCCTGAAGATAAAACCATTATAGGCTGCAAATGGGTATATAGGACCAAAAAAGATAATGAAGAAAACTCTTCTCATTTTAAACCTATATTAACTGCTCATAGATAACAGCAGAAATATGGATATAACTCTTATGAAATATTTGCACCTGTAGCTAAGCCAATTACAATAGGATTATTGTTATTATAATAGCAGTGCAACATTATGGTACCTAAGAAGAATATTTAAAAGGAGATTTAGCTATGATATACACATGAAGAAGTTTTCCAAATCTGAAGAAGGTGATAAGAAAACAGTTTGCAAGTTTGTGAAAAACTTGTGTGGCCTAAAGGAATAAATGAACGGAATAGAAAATTAAATCAACAAAGCAAAAATGATCCTTGTTTGCATGTCAGACAAGATAAGGAAGGATTTTTCTACATTACTATATGTGTGGATGATATGGCACAGAATATTTACTTCAAAATTTTGAAAACAAAACTGTTGAACATTTCATAATGAAAAAAATTAAGAAATCTTTATTACTATTTAGACACACATTTTGAATATGACAATAATGACATTTTCTATAGAGAACAGTCAAGTTATATTTTGAAAAGCTGAAAAGTGCAGTAGGATTTTTACTCAACCTAGCAATTAATTCTAAACCACCTACTGCAGCTACTGCTTCCATCTTATCCAGAAAGATATCAAAATCTACCAAAAATAACTATATGAAAGTTAAAAGGCTTTTTAGATAAAATCTTATACTGCATTAAGGAAATGTAAACAAATGGGAAAACAGCTTCCTATTATGCTATGTAGATGCAGATTTGGAAAACAAACTTGCTAATAGGAAATCTATCAGTAGTTACTTCTTTGCATATCAATGCAATGTTTTTTGAATTGCAGAAAATAACTGTGTGTGACCAAGGAAATGTAAACGAAAAGGAAAACAACTTCTTATTATGCTATACAAATGCAGACTGTGAAAACAACTTTGCTCATAAGAAATCTAACAGAAATCACTTCTTTGTATATCAAGGCAATGTTTTCACATAGAACTGAAGAAAACAACTGTGTGTGACTAAGGAAATGTAAACGAAAGGGAAAACAGCTTCTCATTATGCTATGCAAATGTGGATTGGGAAAACAACTTTGCTGATAGGAAATCTGCAAATGCGGATTGGGAAAACAACTTTGCTGATAGGAAATCTAACAGAGATTACTTCTTTGCATATCAAGGAAATGTGTTTATATAGACCTGCAGAAAAAACCTGTGTGTGACTTCATTATCAAATGAAGCAGAATTCACAGCTGTTGCTGAAGCAGAAAAGGAAGCAAGTTTGCTTAAAATATTTTTACAAGATTTCCAAGAAAAATACACTGTTTGCATTTTCTACAAGGATAATCAAAGTTGCATCAAAATATTAAAGGAATGATGACTCTGTGTGTACAGGATCAAGGCACCACGTGTGCAGGATCATGCCATCTGTGTGTGCAGGATCAAGGCATAACATTTTTCGTTTTAACATTTTTTGCAGGATCAAGGCATAACATTTTTGGTTGACAAATTTATTTGGAAGAATATTTATTCACTAGTTTTTGGTTTCTTCTTCTCTTTGTAAATTTTCCACAAAGCATTTTATTCCATGCCATTTTATCTTCTAACAGTAAAAGTATCTTCTAACAAGTTGAAAAGTTAACACAGATGTTACAACATATGAGTATTACAAAGATGAATCTGCATAAGTGATGTTTCAATAAACCAACGCTCTATAATGATAACTTTAGAAATCAGAATGATGTTTTACATTTCAAAGTTGTATAATGATTGTGAAAGCTTTAGGTATAAAACGGAATACAGTAAATGATGCCTTTTCTTACAAAATCACCATCAGCCGATGTCCCACTTATATGGAAAGGGAATTATTATTAAATTGTAATTAAAACTCATGTAGATGTAAAGTATGTCGGGTCCACAAGTGGCAGTCGAGTAAAATCGTGGAACACTAGTAGTTCAACTGGGGTTGGAAGCACAGTGAATGGGTTAGCTGCATGGGCATTTTCATGGTTTTACCCATGAAAACATGGATACGAACCAGTGTGTAACATTGTGGTAACATGGATATGAGACAGTTTCATTTAGAAAGTTTTCCATGAAGGCATCTCTCCCCTTATGCAGACAGCCCTCGTGTACTTTGCCATAAACTTATTTTTGTAACACCAGCTTTCAGTGCCATACATAGTATGTATCTGTTCACTTCTGACTTCTGTAGTCACTGTTTGTCAGTAAATATGCTTATTTAAAATATTAGTCGCTCACTATCACTAGATCTCTGCAATATTTAGAAAATGTATTCTGAAGTACAACTGTACTTACAAGTGCATTATAACACATATAAGGAACAATAATTTTAACAAAATTACCTGATCCATAGGACCAACAGATACTTGTTTCACATCATCAGACACCCACTTCCAATGAGTTCCTTCTTTAAAAATTGGCACTATTTCTTGCCTTGACCATAATCTACAGGATTCATCAACAGCAAAAACTCTAGTCCTGCCAGCAGAGATTTGACGCAAAGGGCTGCCAACTTGAGGAGGTTCTACATGGCACCAATACTGACCTATAATTTTTTTTTTTTAAATACATGTAATTAAAAATTTTTTTGGCAACAAATAACTATGAACATAACATTAAGAGCTTGTATTATATTTTATTTACTGGGAAATTTTGTTCTTATATATATATATATATGTGTAAGAGTTAAATTCTTAATCGTTGTTCTTAAAGCGTTATAGGCCCATTTCCAAATATTTCTTACATATCCCGTCCAAGAAGAAAAGAAAGAAAACTCAAGATAAATTAATATTTAAAGTTTAACTTGAGCCATGCATTCCATAAATATGACTATAAATATATTTCTACAATTTAAAATATGCAAAAAAATATATGCAGTCTGATTCTCATCATTATGCAATACATTGCTCAAATTAAACTTTATACATAATTTATCTTGAGTTTTCTTTCTTTTTTTCTGGGACAGTATATGTAGGCAAAATTTGAAGATAGGCCTATAACTGATTATGAAGCTTATTCAGTGCTAAATTTTACAATGTAAATTAAAAAAGAAAAAAAAACTCATAATGAGAAATGATTAATTAATGAAGTATTGAAAAATTTGAATAATTGGCAAAATAATTAATACAGATTTCAAAAGCAAAGACTGAGAACTTTTTGAGATAAAAACAAGCGATAAATTATTTGTCTTGAAATACACTTGTTCTTTTTTACCAAATCAAGGACAAATATTTTGCAGGGTAATAACATTACAAATTTGGCTCACACTGCAGTCACCATATTAAGTTCTCATCTTAAGTAATAATATGAGTCAGTTAATTGTAGAATGGTCCATATGAATTCCCCGATATATGTAATATATATATATATTATTTAATATCACCAAACTTGTATCACAATTCGAAATATAAGCTTCTCAACAAGGTGACACACATACACACACAAAACAAAACAACAACAAAATTATCAAACTCCTATTTCAGACACAGATTTCTATTTACAGTCTCTGAGATCAATAAAAACACTTTTCACATACTTTAATGTATCAAGAAAAAAACCATACGAGCTGTGAGAGAAATAACTTTCCAGTTTTCTCTTTTTAAATTTTTATTCAAACATAACACCTACTTCTATTTCTCTACCTCATATACATATTAGAAATATAAAACCAAAATATTTTTATGAATGTGAAATACCATTAGGAACCTAATTCACCAACATACTTTTTTTTTTTTTGAATAATTTTGCCTACAGAAATATGGAAATGTTCTTGACTTGCAGTGTTCAGCAATAAGGGATTTGTGTGTTTCTTTTGTCCTAATGAGTGTCTCATATTTGGTGTGAAATTTCAAGGCTTTTTATTTTAACCAAAGTATATTAAGGCACACTGGCAAGGAATACTGTATATACCTCAAGAATTCATACCTGGAATGAGTCTTAAGTATGGAATTACAAATTTTATTGATAGGAAAAGAAAAATGAAAGTTAAACTTTTGCAAAATATGCGCAATTTTATAGCTAACCGAAAAGAAAGGAATAACTACAAAATTCTTAAAATCTTTCAAAACAAGAGAATTCTTTTTATTTTGTTGAGATAGAAATTTTTTAACTACTCAGTCAATTACACTGGGTGGAAAACCTCAATCAATTGCAATCACTCTCAAGTAGTTGACTTCTTGATCAAGAGCCGACTTGGAGAAGCAAACTTAGAATGAATGCACAGGAAATGAAAGAATAATGTGAAGCAAATTTCCATTTAGTTGAATGGTAGGATTCGAAGTGTGGTGGAAAGCAAAGAGTTTAAATAAAGGTTTATAACACAGTAAGTAGTGCTAAGTGTTAGATATATTTCGTGTGACCAAGATATCAAGGAACAGAAGTGAATAAGATGTCTCGGGATCAAAAGTAGGATCAATGGAGTTCATAATTCAGAGAACTATATTTAAATCTGTTTTATTACTGTAAAATAGAGTAAAAGTATCATTAACAAACAGCCACAAACTGAGAAGTTTAATACTTCAAATAATTTAGATTCAAAATAATTCATATAGATATCAGTAAGTATAGGTTTGAGAGAGCTTCTTGTTGTTCATTCCTCAGTCTAGTGATATTTATTTTGAAAAACAAAATGTGTTTTGTTTATTTCAGACAAAGTAAAGTAAGAAAAATTAATTCATTAATTTTAAGACACAATAAAATTCTTGAAAATAAATACTGGTGAATAATGATTTTACATCAAACGAAACTATGGTGAAATTTGGAAGGGGGGGGAACTTTATTGATTTATGGCATAAGTGATATGTGTGAAGTTAAAATCTCGAAACTAAATGTTTAGCTAACAGGTAAGGTTTGGTGCCTAAATACGATACATTGAAGTTAAATTGAATACCACTTTTATAGGGATTTGTGAAATAAGCAGCATGAGATATATGTTATGAAAAAAGAAACACACAACTCACATTGGTGAATTAGATTTCCTAGAGGATTGCTTTCACATTCATAAAATTCACATTTCAAATTCATTTTCCCTTATAGGAGTCCTTTCGCATTCATAACTATTTCAGTTGTAGTTATTTTAATCGACCACATGAGCCGTCAGTTGTTATAACAAATTTTTTACTGTCGACAGGACATCACTTTCTATATAAACACTTGCACTTAATTGGTGTAGTTGATGATGTCTGTCCTCTGTCTGTCAGGTGAAACCATGGACTTTCTCACGACAGTATCATTACAGACTGAACACGGGGGGGAGGGGGGATTTTAATTGACCTTCACTTTTTAGAGAAATTATTTCACAGTTGTTTCCTTTTTTTTTTTTTTTTTTTTTGTCAATGGATGGCATTAGTATCTTTGTTTCTTTTCTTAATAAGAATTTTCTCAAATTTTATTGTCTACGGTTATTGCATGAGCACATGCAACTCTTTTGTCATTTTCACTCGTGCAGTTGAAGAAGGAGATCCTATTCAAACCTTCAAAACCAGTTAAATTAAACAACTTACAATGTCAAATTTAAACAACTTAAACAGATTTTGTTTTAGTATCTTCAACATTTGCTCTTTGGTGTGAGTCAAGATTTAATGTTGTAAGGATCTTAAGTTTTACTAACGTTTATTTTATTTTAAATCTTTACTATCACTTCTTATTTTCTACTTCCGGCCAGAATTATAAGCGTGAAGGAGTTTATGCAAAGTTGTCTGGCGAACGCCAAGTATTTAAGTGTGGCCTTTTTGCCAAGCAGAAGAGAGGAAGCCGTGAGTTCGAAGCAGGCCGCTTACCTTAGAAGTTACGCAGTTGCTACTTTGCCTTCCAGGCCAGAGGTTTTAATCCTCTTGATAAATTAAACGTATTGTAGTGTTCACAGTCTCTGTGCTACATACGCTTTCTGTTCTATAAGGCCAATCTTATTCTAAAGTTAAATTAGAGTTTAGTTTTATTTTGATATCTTTTAAGTTAGACCCCGAGTGGAGGGTCATTGTATTCCGAAGTACGGAAGTCATTGTATATAAAGAAAAAATAAAGGGTTTTGTATACCCTTCGTCTGTATCCTGTCTACTTACTACAATTAGTGAACATAGCTTTAGTAAGCTCTCTGTTCTAGTCAGGTCATTGTATGTTTCCGAAGAAGGTAAGAAGAAACATTGAACCTGATAGTGGCGCCCGACGAAGAATAACCATGGCCGAGTTTCAAGAAGAACCTGTGCTGCCTGCAGAAACAGCTCAGAATCCAGAAATGCCAGCTGCCGCCCTGGAAGGATTCGGGTATATTGTCCAGACCATGCGCGCTTCGATGAAACCAGAAGCAACGTTTAATGGAAACTCACAGGTAACCAGTTTTTTGGAAAATTGGATGACCACTTCATGCTCTACCCCGTGCACGAGTTTCAAAAAGTTACCTTAGCTACCAGCGCTTTGAGGGGCCAAGCGCTTAACTGGTTCAAATGTATCGGCAGAAGTCTCTTGGGTCAAGCAGGAAGTCCCACCTATACCTACGAAATTTCAAGACTGCCCTACTAAAAGCCTTCCCTGTTGTAAGGGATCGTGCGAAATTAGAAACAGAACTTTTCAGTATATATCAACAAGAATGGAAAACCTCTCCAGGTTTATTTTAAGAAAAATTCACGTTTCAAGCTCTTGTATGGAAAACCGTCCGGATCCTGAAATAATTCAAGTGATTTTGCCGAGGTTACTACCCCAAGTGCAAGACTTTATTGAATTGAGAAATCCGACTACACTGGAAAAATTATTTGAGCTAGCAATCCAGTTTGAAAGTAGAAGAAACGGCGGACGTCGAAAGAAGACGCCAATATCACAGCGAAACCAATTGGTACGCCAAGACTACAGCAAACTCAAGCACATGGCTACGGAAAAAGCGAATCAGTGGGCAAGGAAACCCGAGCATTCAAAACGCCGGCGAACGTCGACAGTTCAATAGCAACCCAGGAAAAAAGTCTCAAGGCCAGTGGAGAAAGAAGGAAAGCACCGAAAGAAAAAATAATTTAAACTAAAACGGATTTCTGCTGACGAGAGGGTGCGGAAATCCGAAGGCCACGAAAACCCTCTTCCTACAAGTTAAATACAGTAATGGTGAAAAATTTAACTCTTCCGAGATTGAAGTCTTGGTAAATAATATCCCGGCCACCGCACTCCTGGATACCGGCGCGCAGTGTTCCTGTGTGGCAGAAGTTTTTTTAGAAAGTATTTCGCAATAACCGCATATATAATGCGGATAATACAACAGTATTAGCGGCGCAAGGGGAACAATGTAATTGCGTAGGTAAAGTACCTTTGTACATCCGTATCAAGGACGAACAATAAAGGTGATGTTTTTTTATAGTAAAGAATTTGCAAGCACACTTAATACTAGGAATAGACTTTCTTTCAGACGCACAAGCTACACTGGATTTTATGAAGCGTCTCTTAAACTGACGATGAACCAGTGCGTGTAGAAAAGGTTGAAACCGCCAAGGGTAAATCTCGACCACCTGCCTAATGACGAGCAAGATAGAATCCTACAAGTGGTAAGTGAATTTGCTTCCTTATTTA